GGGCTGTGGGTTTGGAAAATCACCACATTTGGTGGGCTGGTGTCACATGAAACTCTGTATTCTCATCCCTGTCTGCCACCCTGAGTTTCTCATTAAACTTTACAACCAGCTTTTTACCTCTGCTCTATGGAGTTAAAGAAGAGTTGTGTGTACAAATTGCCCTCAATAATTCAAAAGGTAGATAGAAACAGAGGTTCTTATTCATATATTTATCGATTTATTTGATAAATATTTATGGATCACTTACTATACCAAGTCCTATTCCAAGAGTTGCAAATTAGCCAGGAATAAGGCCTTTGAAAATGTCTGCCTTCTGGGAGCTTACATTATGGTGGCAGGAAAAGCACTCCAGGAAAGGGAGGGGGAGCAACAAAGCCAGAGGCTATGACAGGGACATGCTCTGCGTGTTGAGGAAACAACAGAGAAACCACTGTGGCCGCAGCAATGTGAGCCTAAGTAAGCAGAAGACTTGAGGTCAGAGATTAAAAGGTGGAGGTGTGGAGGTGTGGGGTCACAGATTGTATCGGCCCAAGTGTCCACTATAAAAATTTCAGCTTTTATTAACTGTGAGGGATTTAGAAAACCATTGGCGAATTTTCAGCAGCCAAGTGACATCATCTGAAGGCATTTTAACTGGATCATTCAGGCTGCTGGGTTTAGAAAAGACTAGGGCAAGGGCGGTGTTCAAGGGCAGAAGCATGAAAAACCATCAAAATTCTACTATAAGACATTAAATTAAAATAATGCAAATGAGAGATAATGTTGACCTGAACCACACTGATAGTTGTGGTCGAATGCTGTATGCATTTTGGAAGCAGTGCACTCATGTTTTCCTAACTGATTAGATGTGGACTTTGAGCAATAAGGAAGTCAAGGAAGATGGAAAGACTCGACTTGGGCAACATGAAGCATGGACTTACCTGTTCTTTAAGTAAGAAAGGCAACACCAGTGCAATGTCAGGAGGTCAGTTTAAACATGCTAAATGTGAGACACCTATAGAATCTCTAGGCAACTGGATATACCAGTCTGGAGTTCAGGAGAGGAGACCAGACTGAAACTCCCAGTTTTGGAGTTGATAGCACATAGATGGTATTGAAAGCTATGGCACTGAATGAGATCACCCAGAAGGGAATATGAATAGGGGAAGAAATTGCCGCGTCCAGCGCGGCTAGTCGAACGGGCCGGAGTGGGGGCGATGGAGTATTAAGAAAAGGCAGGCCGGCCGAGTGGCGCGATGGTTAAGAACTGGCTTGGGACACCAGAGGGCCCTGGTTCGGATCCCACATGTGAGGGCCAGTGACACTGCCCTCCACAGCTAAGATGCTGAACAACAGCTCAACCTGGAGCTGGGCTGCCCGTAGGCTGCAGCTCCTGTGGCAGTGGGTTGCCATGGGCTACTGTGTGTAGCCAGCAGCCAGCATGAGCGGCCAGCAGCCTCTGTGAGTGGCCGTCCAGAAGCCGGCGACTGATCGGCCTTGCCTGGGAAGAGCGCGATGATGGTGCCAACTTGGGCCAGTGAAGCAACGTCCTCCACAACTAGACTGAAAAACAAAACGACAGCAACTTGTCTGTTCCCCTTCCCCCAATTCCCCAGCGCTGTTCCCATCCCCCAATTCCCCAATAAAAAAATATTTAAAAAAAAAAGAAAAAGAAAAAGAAAAGGCAGACGAAGAAGTACTTGAAAGCACTTGAAAGCGGGGGCTAGGTGGACAGCTGTCTCCTGAAGGGAGGAGAGTGACCCAGTCCAGCAGCCGTGGTTTACTTACATAGCCTTACTTATGCCGGGGCAAGGAAGGGGAGGAAATGGCCTTGGGCAGAGGATGTTCTGTGCATCAGCTGCAGGATGTTTGCAACCAATGTTGCAACAAATGTCTCGGACCCAGGATGTTTTATCACCAGTGTACTGAAACCACCTCTGTATGCTGAGATGCTGTGTCAGCCTTGCAAAAACACAGCCAGAGAGTGTGCCTTGCACCAGCCTCTCCTTTACAGCTCCAGAAGGTGGTCTTGGTCTCCGGCAAGAAATAAAATCATTCTGGATGCATTTTGTAGTTAGTGTTGACAGGATTTAGTGGCAGTTTAAATGTAGGTGTAAAAGATAAGATTCAAGGATGACTCCAAGGATTTTGGAGAAAAAAATGAGGTTATTGATGGACTGATTCTAGAGCTCTCCTATACTGGAGATGAAGAGGAATCAGCAAACTAGCCTGAGAAGAAAAGTTTAGAAAGGAAGGAATCAAACCAGGGAAGTGTGATGTCTTAGAGTCCAAGTGAAGAAAGTGTTTCCAGGAGCAAGCAAGTGTCCTTGAACCCTGTGTCAAGTGCTACTGGGTTAATATGAAAACTGAGAAATGACAGTGGGTTTCACATGGAGATGATGCTCAATTGAACTTAAAGTAACGTCAATTGAGATAGTTGTGAACAAAGGGTAATGATGGGAATTGCTTTAAGTAAGAACAGAGGAAGGAAAATTGTAGCGAGAGATTATAAGGTTATAGACAACTACAAGGAGTTTTGCTGTAAAGGAGAGAAAGGAGGCACTGGTTGCAGGGGCAGTGTGGTCAATATTTTTGTTTGTTTTTAGGATGGACAAATACTAGCATGTATTTATGCTAATAAGAATTAGTCAACAGGAGAGGACTTTAAAGACACACAGAAAGCAGGGCAGAGGAGGTTGCTGAAGCAGCGTCCATGGATAGGCTACAGAAGATGGGGTCTAGTACACACGGGAAGTTCTGGCCTTTGATAGAAACATGGACATATGGATATGAGCAGGAGAGAAGGTAAAATATTTGTTGGCAAGGTATAGATAGGTGGGGCCTGGGAGCCTGTAAAATTTCTCTCTGGATTAATTCTCTTTTCTCAGTGGACGAGGAAACCAGGTCATGAGCCAATAATGAGTTTGAAAAAAGACATGAAATGGTCAAGGAAAGTTGCAGGAGACCAGCTCCCTTAGGCCCAGGGATTCCCTCAGGTGGAGGCGGAGTCGGCGAGGAAAAAAAGCGTAGAGACACAGGAGCGCTTTTTCAAGAAGAGAAGTGTCTCACTTTATTTTACAGCATGCCCCTTTTTATACTGGGCAGTTTAACCATTGTTCCATTAGTATCAGGGTTTTACTTCCTCATAATTCTTATGCTCCAGGGTACAGCTATACCTTTTCTATGCTAAAAACTAACTTATCCCAACTACGCCCAAATCCCTCCACCTACAATGACTGTGACCAAGGCCTGAGCATCTACATAATCGCCCAAAGGATGGTTACCATGACTACCCAACAATTATTCTAAAAACTATTGTCTAAGCAGGATCTCAAGATTTACAGGGTGTGTACTTTGACCTTTACTAAGAGACTAGTAGTGTGACTAAAATTACCTTTAGTGTATAAAATATAATTATTGTGATATTTCTATCAGAAGGGGTGTAAGATCTTCGTCCTACTGGGGGACATCCAAAGGGGAATTTAAATTCTTTAAGATATAAAGCAGTATCTGTTTCTCAGTCAGAGCTTCAGAATTTGTCACAATTGCAGTGTGGTTGGCCATGTCAGATACTGAGGCGCAGACGGCTCCCGGCAGAAAGTGTGTGAATGGATCAGAAAAATATCTAAGGGTTGCTGGGAAGTATACCCCTCCACTTCAGGTGGATTTCTATGACCTGAAAGTGACACGAGAAAGTATGGCTTTGTTTTTTTCTTTAGTCACATTCAGTGGCTCAGAGCAGACAAGTTTAGGTGGGAGTTTTCAATTTAATTAGCACTGTGGTTTAGACAGACAGTAAGCAAAGTAATGGGGGCAAAGGTATTGACGTTCTATGCATGGGAGTGATGAAATGATTAATTGGGGAATTTAATGTAGTTAAGCTGGTATGTCAGGTCAGAGTGGGGTGGTCAAGGTCAGTGAAAGGTGGCAGAATTAATGGATTGACTGTAGGTACACAGAGCTGGAAGCAGTTTTGGAGTTTTGTGATGAGAGAAAGTAAGCTGTAATATGAAAGATGGTGTTCAAAAGTGGGTTTGAACTGTGATTATGGCAGAAATCTCAGTAATTTTTAGAGACAGGTTGTATCATGCGAATGATGTTGGCAGAGACTGGGGGTAGGCTGGAAGGTAAGATCACTGGGGAAGATCCTTTCCTACCTCGAGGAAGGTAAATCTTACAATAGTTTGCAAGAGTTCAAGCCACTAGTGATGCTGGATGATTTGTGCCGGGATTCATGGTCTCATAGCACCGAACAATGGAGATAAAGCCCAGAGAGGCGAAGTTTGCAGTAATGGACAGTTTATTAAAGAGATACAGCTGTCTAAAATAGAGTGAGCATCCAAAACTGGAGTGCCTGCTGACTAGCGGGGAGGCTTCTGTTTATATGCTTTTCCGAGCCTATTTGGGTAGAAAACTGGCGCCTGCCAGTTAGATTTGTTTCCTTGGCCGGTTCAGCCTGGCGGAGGCTTTTTAGGATAGTTTTAGTTGCCTCAGGGTGTAATGGATGTCTCTGGTCTGGTAGGAGTAAATTGTCTCAAGGCTGTGGCTTTTTGGGTCAGGGCTGAGGCCTTGGAGATATGTTTATCTTTTGTTCATTCTACCAGAGAATTCCTAACTGCCTAATTGTTACACAAACTAACCTGTTCTACTAAGTCTACCCTTGAAGGAGGAGGAGCTATTCATGAGAAAGTTGTAGGGTTTCCACCCCAAGGCTCACGATCTAATAGAAGACTGCGTGTGGCAGTCAGTTTAAGATCTTAAGTGAGAATCTGATCTGTGCTTCCCTGGTACTGGGTCCCAACCGCAGCTGTTCCAGGACCTGGGCGTTGCCAGGCAACAAAGGCTGGTGTGTCACAGCCCATTTCCAGTCCTTGGCCCACTCCCTGTCTCTGGCCGACTACCAATCTCTGGCTGCTTTGTCTCTGGGACTGGGGCGTGACTTTGGCCAGAGGGGCTGCGAGCCAGGGGTGAAGGGGGGTGAGGGCGTTGGAGGGGCGTGTGGGGCGGTTAGGAGCATCGCCATGAAGAAGCTTTGCACTTGCGGGAAAAGGGTGGATGAGCCCCACAGCCCCTGTTCACACCTGCGCATAGACCCAGCCAGTACCGGAACCTCCGCCCATGCGGGCTGCAACCTTCCAGATAAGGATTGAAAAAAACTTTATAAAGCTGCCGCAGCTGGGGATTTGGAGAAGGTGAAGGAGTACCTTCAGCTCAAGACTTAACGACGTAAACATTCAGGACAGAAAATACAGGTGACCAGAGTGGAAAGGCAGCGTGGCAGGGACGCTGGGGCCACTGGGTCTTCTAACTGGAAACAGGACCTGTCTGGGCTGCCGGACTGGTGATCACACTGGGTTTCCCATAGCAGAGAGACTTGGTAGCCACTGGCACAGGCTTACCCCCCACCCCCCTTTCAGCTTTCCTGGGTATTTGAGGGCACTTGTGTCCTCTCTGGTTCTCTCCATCCCTCCCACTGCCTGAATCTCCACTGGCACTCCACCCTTTCCCCATCCTGCTATTTTCGCCTCCCCCTCTATAGAGTATCTTGTCCCCAGCCACCTAAGATTTACCATATTACTAATGTATTGATAGGAAATGAGTAGAGGTGACCCACCAGAACANCCCACTCACTCTTTGGTAACCACTAAACTATTGTCTGTGTCTACACAAAATGTTTTATATCCTAATATTGATTATTAGACGGTCTATTGTTTGTGGCTTATAACTTCATGACTTGCTCATCTACTACCTCATTTGTAACTAAAGTTTATATATATATATATATATATATATATATATACATACATATATCTCATTAGATAACATTTGTGATTACATATAAAAAATTTAGGGTCTGTATTAATAGTAGCCAATCATACTAATAGGAGAGAGCTAACAGAAGTCAAGTCTGGTTTGAAAACTATTCCTTCTCTATCTACATACATTCCAAACAAGATGATCTTTATGAGAATAATGCTCAGTTCCCATGTTGATCCCCAATTGTTTTAGAAAATGGAAACTAACTTTTATACTTGGATACTGATACATGGATGCATTTGAATGACTCCTTCCTGAGAGACTTACGTCCTTTAGATTCAGAGAATCCTATTGAAACTTGAAAATTATGGCAGCCTTTGCTAAAATTGAGGCAGAGACACAAGTTACAATGAAGATTTTCATTATTTTGACTAATTCATGACTTGAGTGGCCAACCTTAGTAGTGGGACTCTAAGAAAAGCAGTCCCCCACTGTGCTTGGGAAAGATGACATAGAACTTTCATAGCCAGACGCAGGTGAATACATAGGACATAGCTTTCAGGAGACCATCTGGGAGCAGAGAAAGGAGACCGACTCTCTTCTTGCAACACTGTGAATCTGAGGGCTTCAGCTGGGTCCTATTAGCAGTTCTTAGATTGGGACCCTTAGGGTCCCACTTGCCTCACCCTAGTCCCAGCCTTAATTTGTGGGCAAGAACAACAGAGTTCTCAAAGGGACTGTAGTATGAAGGTCTGGGTGATGATTTGGGCTCCACACAAAGTTCTGGCTGAATTAGGAGAATGCTTTGGAAACAAAGGTGAGCACTTCAGTGTGAACTAAAAGAGCTGGAGTCCACGGGGGGTTCACGATGAAAGGTCTGGGCCAGCACTTATGAGTAATTTAACTTTCCCTACTAATTCGAATGGTCCCAGTCATCAAGTACTAATTCTCATATACATTTGGGTATGTTTCTAGGCTTTCTATTCTATTTCATTCATTTGACCATTCTGCCAGCAAAACAATATTTAATTAGTGGAAATGTATAAATCTCGACCTTTTTCTAAAACTTTTCTTAACATCATCATAACAGTATACCAGAATGACCTCACAAATAATTCTAATTTTTGAAATCTTGATTATTTTGATTTGGTATAGGAAGTTATTAAAATAATAAGGGAAGGTCACATATTTCAGATAAATGAGTCTCCTTGTTCAAGAACATTGAGCACCTCTCCACTCCAAAGGTTTTTCTAAGATTCCCTAGTAAAGCATCTATCATCTATCTCTATCCATCTATCTATCTATCTATCTATCTATCTATCTATCTATCTATCTATCTATCTATCTATCATCTGAAGTATGTTTATTAAGACAACGAGATCTACATTCCTATTAGAATGGCCAAAATCCTGAACACTGATAACATCAAGTGCTGGTGAGGATGTGAAGCAATGTGAATTTTCCTCCTTCATTGTTGGTGGGAATGCAAAATGATACAGCCACTTTGGAAGACAGTTTGGAGATTTCTTACAAAATTAAACATACTCTGATCATACAATACAGGAATCACATGCTTTGGAATTTACCAAAAAAAGTTGAAAACTTACGTCCACACAAAAACTTGCACCTCGATGTTTATAGCAGCTTTATTCATAATTGCCCAAACTTGGAAGCAACCAAGATGTCTTTCAGTGAGTGAATAAACTATGGTATACTAAAAAGAAATCCACTATCAAGCCATGAAAAGACAGAGAGGAACCACCAGTGTGGGTGTGTAAATGGACCAGTGAACTATTTACTACACAACAATATCAATCTCAGTAAACTTTTCATGAAATATATGTACAGCAGGCATTTCCAATGACTAAACTAGCATTTAATAATCATTATGGTAAATGACACTTTGAAAGATCATCTAGTATAATTGCCATTATTCAGAAATGCTTTACATTAAAGAGAAAGAGGGAAACCTAAATTGGCACTTAGTACTGATACTTTCATTTTACTTTTCTCAACATACACAGCCCAGAAGTAGCCAGGAATTGTCTATAATGAGAAGGGTCCTGAGAAATGGGAGTAAATGTCCCAATAGAGCTCAATTCACTTTTGATGGATAGATGACTGAAAGAATTAATAGATAAATGCACTTGGAGAACTCCCTATTTTAAAAGGAAACATAAGAAAAGTGATCATTTTGATGTTGGAATAACATCTTGTAATGTTGCTATTATTAATTTTCAGTGCTCACAATGAGGACCTAATTCTAGTCTTGGTAACATTGATAGGACACAGAGAAACATATTCCTCAATTTGGAAAAGGAATGATCAACTTTCAATTAATACAGAGAAACTATTCTAACAAGAGAGAGATCATCTTTGGTTTGTGAGAGTTCTATTCCTGCAGTTCCCCGGGACAGTTCCCTTACACTAAACTTTTATGAGAGTTTTGCAAAAAAATTAATGTTAATTGTAGAAATAGGAAAACTGATGAGGAAAGAGGAAAGGAAAATAAATAAATGTGAAAACTATAAATAAATGGGAATAGTAACCACTTATAAATTTAAACACACAGACTTCCCTGTCACATTCATTTAGAGATTTTTTCCCCTTTATAAGTCATGCTTGAATCCTCTAAGGATTGATGTTAATGATTATTCTTTCT